ACAAGCCACGGGCTCCCGGCTCTGCTCAGGCATCAGTGGGGCTGAGCCCAGCTCCCTGCCAACAGCATCTGCACCAACCTGTTTTTGTAATCCAAGGTTATAAATTACCTATAACCCCCAAATAAAACAGTTTAATGCAGACCAAAAAGCCTTAGCTATCACCTGAAATGTGGCCCACAAAAATCTGGTTGGAGGAGAGCTTCTCTATGTAGACGAGTTAGAAATGGTGAGCAGCTCCCCCGAGCAGCGAGGCGAGCACGGGCACCAGAGGCACGTCCCTGTCTCCTCTGCTCTAGTGGGGGAAATGGAGGCAGCTTCTACTGCCTGCCTTTTTTCTTTGCTTTGTAAAAAATCCCTGGTTTTAACCAAATTCCCAGCTCAGAAAGCAATAGAGCACCTAGAGAGAATTTTAAAAGTGATCTGTAGAGTGAAGTTTGTCAGCCAAGGTGTAACACCACGTTTGTTCTGATGCTAATCGCCTCCAAGCACAGGGTGCAGTATGGGCCTGGTGGCGAAGCAAGCTCCGCGTGCCATCCTCCTGAGCTGCTCGCAGCGTTTGCGTTCCCTGTGACGCCAGCCGCTGCCGCGATGCCACCGCTGTGTTTGTGGAGGAGAGGACCAGCGCGCAAGGCCCTGCAGCGGCAGCCCCACTGGCTGCGGCAGGGCAGGCAAGGAAAAAGTGTAGCTTAGAAATGTTCCTAGTTTTTGTGAGTTTGTATGACAACACTAGTTAAACATAGATTTGTGTATTAACGTACACAGTGTATATTATAAATTAATACATACCAGAGATATATTGTAGTTATGGTATAGAGTGTTATTTCCTGAGCAGCGTCAGGGGCAGCCCTCCTGTCCCACGAGCATTGCGAAGTGCTTTGTTGTTCAGCCATGCATGTTGAGCTGCAGCCCGGAAGATGCCCTCGGAGCGGAACAGGCCCAGGAGTTTTGGCGCTCCTGGCACCACCCTCTCCCACCCGGGAGCAGCGTAAGAGCGGCCAGCCCAGAGGAGCGGCTGCAGAGGCAGCCAGCAGCAGCCTGGGCGCGGCAGGGACGATGTAAAGCCACGACCAGCTGGCCAGCGTGATGCTCCCCTCCCGCACTGACTCTAGCTCTGCTCCCAGAGGAGAATCGGAGTCAGAGATGGACATGCCTTGCCTAGAACAGCAGCGCAAGGGGAAAGCCAGAACAGCCTCTGCTGTCCACGAGGGAGGGGAGGTTTTGGCGCCGTGGTCAGAAAACGTTTGCACCCCTGCCTTGTCAGCCACGAGACCAGCGCCCACATGGGCTGCGAAGGTGGAAGCAGCCCTGCCATGGGACAGTCCCATTTCAGCGCAGCCCCAGGGCCCAGTCAGCACTGCCACGGGGCCTGTCCCTGCAGCGACGCGAAGCGTGGCCCCACCGCGAGATGGCACAGCAGCCTGCTGCCTGCTGCCCCACAGCCAGCACAGTATGTAATGCAGCCAGAAGATTTTAACCTAGCCTTGGAAATAAATTAGTTATTTTGGTTTGATTTTTTTTTTTTTTAATAAAAACACTTTATGGAAACTGGATATTTTTTTAAAGCAGTTGGTCAATGAGGAGGAAGGAGGGTTATTGTCATATTCTGATCTATGGGATTTATTGCTGCCCCTCAGCGGGGTCCCGCACTCGGAGCCCTGCAGACAGCAGGTCCTGCAGCCACCATGGCTCGTGCCTGTGTGGGGTGGAGGCCCAGAGCACCCACAAGTGCAGCGGGGCGAAGGACTGCACCAGCATGGGAGAGCTCAGGCCCCTTGGAGCCTCACC